AAAAAAAAAAAAAAAAAAAAAAAAAAAAAAAAAAAAAAAAAAAAAAAAAAAAATTCCTTACTTTACTTTCAATTTTACCCAAATTTACTTTCCCTTCAACCATACCTATGAACTAGATTCTACTGATTTTTCATTCATATGTTCCCCTCTGGCTATGTGAAACCCTGGATCTTGCATGGGAGGGGGGCGGAGCCAGTCATGGCTTGGCTACTCGCTGTAAAGAATGGCATTACCATCATACTTAAATTTTTAAATTGTCTTTGAGGCAATATGATCAACTCTTCAATTAAACACAGTCCACCAAAATTTTGAGAAAACTCTCCGTTTTCGCTCTACAAGTCAGGATCCTACTTTTAATTCGACAAAAACGGAATGGAAACAACTCATTCGGTTGTAGGACGAGAAAAAGTTCAGAATTTCTATAGAAAGTTTATTTTGAAACAAACTGCAACTAAAGGATAATATTAAAATGCTCGTTTATTTTTAAAAAAAATTGTTTTTAAGGTATCGTGCATCTATTGCTCTTCCCGGTTTTTTTTTTTTTTTTTTTTTTTTTTTTTTTNTTTTTTTTTTTTTTTTTTTTTTTTTTTTTTTTTTTTTTTTTAAGATGAAAACATCAGCACGCATTTCGTTTTACAAAAGCATGCGTTCAAAATGCACGATGCCTTTTTTTGTGTGAATCAATGAAGGCAGCAGCTTCTAATCTTAACATTTATAGCGCTTCTCAATGCTACTTCCTCAACACCAAAAACCATGTTCTCATATTCACTCTGACACTCCGTGCTAATTTCTTTAAAAAAAAAAAAAAAAAAAAAAATCTCAAAAACGCCTCTTTTTCGAAACAAACGGGTTAATTCTGCCACATTAAAATGCAATGTTCCGAGTATTAAGAATGCAATGTTCCGAGTATTAAGAATGCAATGATTAATCTTCAAATGATGCTCAGGAATTAAAAGCCAACAAAATTATGCCCAAATACTCAGTGTCGCAACATTTTGTCCCGACTGGGAAAATGTCGTGGTGCTCTGCTGTAGGTAATTGTACGAGGGAAAACATACAATTTCTTGAACAATGACTTAGCAAAAAAAATGTTTTATTGGTTCTTTGGTTTTAAGGGTTTCCTTCCAATGACACGTTTTCGACATAAAAATAAGACTAGTTTCACAAAAAGGTAAATCACAACAAAAATTATAACAGCACATATTACAAAAACATCTAAAAAGAATAGCTGATACCACGGCATGTGAACCGTTAGAGGTTTCAAGTGATGAGCACCCTCATGCCGGATAACATATTCTATCCAATATATAGCTGTATCCAGAGATGACATTGGTTTGTCGGTGAAAACTTTCGAAGCTTTGCCGATGTTTTCTTTAAATCTGGAATAAACACGAAAATTAACCAATTGATTGCTGAAATATTTTCGATTAAGAAGTCTCGCTTACAAAAGACAAATCGATCTGTTCAAAGGGGGAAAAAACGAACGAACTCGTTGATTGTTTCAATGTAGGGTATTGAATAAATAGTATTTTTTACGATCAAATTGTTTAAGAGTCTGGACTCTAGGTCCAAGAAACTTTTTTTCCAGTGTGCGTATTTTTAGAGAAATTTTTCAATATGATTCTTAGCGGAACCCACAAAATTGAATAAAATCGAACTAAAGTACATCATTTACTCACCTCGAATCACCCAATACCGTATTAATTGCAGNGCTGCGCCATCTTGAAAAATACACCATTGCATAACCCGAAAAATGAAGGGGCATTCATACACGATTGCATAACCCGCATATTGAAGGGGCAACATGCAATACTTTCTTTTTACACCGTTGCCATATTGAACAATAATCCCTATACAACGCTGTAATTTAATTCATATTTTTCTGCACAATTTGGCTAAAAACTTTTGCGCTAAAGTCGCTATTTTTACCCTACTAATTGCCCAGGTCAAAGATTCCCGCGTTATATTCAGGTACGCTAATTGCAGACCGTAACCAAGGTATTCTGCGTTCACCATATTATTTTTTTGATCTCCATAGAACGGCGTTCCTATAACCGGCACGGCGTAGCGTATAGTTTCCATCGTACTTGACACACCACCATGGGTCATAAACAAAACGCAGTTTGGATGAGCTGCGGGAAAAATGCAAAATGTTAATAGTTTTATGGTTCGTAAATTGTAACATGCCGTTCATGGAAAAAATAAAAAAATCTACTCGAGTCAAAGTGCGTGCTAAAAACTGTTGGCATGGTCTACAATTGATTTTTGTAAGCTCGATCGATAAGAATAACTTATTGATTACGAGAAATAGATAAAATAGACCAGGAAAATTAATGGTGCGAATGAAATTTTAGTGAGATTTTCGATACATATTGCTTGAATTTTGAGCATTTTCAGAATCTAAGGTCCGCAAGATGAGTGAGTATTCGTAGGTAATCTTCGGGTAGGCTGCATAAGGCGACCAGAGGCTTGAAAGAATTCAGGTTTAAGTGATGCTCTACCTATGTGCTATAGCATTTGCTCCAGTTTGCATGGCTGACACTACGCGGAGTCCAAGAATAGCCTTGAGTGAAGGCGCGCCGCCTTCACTCTCTCACTTATGAAATATTAGCATCAGTCGAGCTGGAATTGTTGCATTCTAAAGTTTCTCTTAGCTGCGTTTGCTCTTTTGCCAAAATTGAATTGAGGGTGTCACATTCTATCTCAGCCAATCGCAAATAGCCGCGAGATTTATTTTCCACTGAATCATCCATTAATGAATATATTCATCCATTTAATCTTTCATATTTTAGAGGATGCAAAATCACATGGAAAAAAATATATTTTGTGTACTAAATCATCGGCTGATTTTAAATTTCTTCCTTTTTATTATTATTATTTTTTGTTTTTTTAATCTCTTATCGCCGTGAAAGTATGGCGGAGGAATTATGAGTGAATTCCTATTGATTTTTCAGCCGACGTTAAGGAGGAAATTGCATTTGGAATTTTAAAAAATTCATATGACTTTCAGACACGGATGACTTAAAAGTAAAATACCGTGGCAAACACTTGGTATTATCAAGATTAAAAAATACTGCAAACGCAGAGGAAGATACCCTGATGTATAGAAAAAACCCGAATATGAGTTTACCTAAAACACTCTTCTGGTCGAACCAACTTCTTATGTGGACGTTTTCAGGAATATTAAAGTTGGAGGAATTAAGGTAACTAGAGTCTGCTTTCCATAGAATCGTCTGTGGTAACTCTTTGAAAGCAGATAAATAAGCGTGTAAAATCTCCTTTCGGACTAGATTCGTTGTCAACAGAGATCCGTAAGAGAAGAATATCACACCATCCTTTGCCTTATTCATTATTCTTTCCAGATCCTAGAAGCAGAAAATGGGAGGAAAATGCATTGATGTAAATCGTGTATGAATGTAGCTCACAAGCTGCCGAGACTAGTATCTATTTCTGTAAGTGTGAATTCCAAGAATTTTTCATCGTTTCATCGTTTCAACATGAAAAACTGGGAACTAGTAAGGTAACTACTAAGGTGAACTGGGGAGCTAAGGAAATTAAAGTAAGGGGCGAAAAGTAAAATTCGATATACCCGCCGATGAAAATGGCGGAAATTTCAAATTCAGCAGAAAATTGAATTCAATAAGAGATGTTGAATTTTAGTTTGTTTCTACGTTATACCCCGCATAATTCGATTTTGGAATAGACAGACAGGAGCACTGGAGCAGTCTATAAAAAAGTGGAACGAAGATATGCCCCTTTCCTATAGACCAATCAAAAACGACGAAACGTCTGTTCTACCTATTTGTTTCGTTTCAGTCTTGCAGGAAGTTTAAAATTTAATGCCGATTTTCGTATTCGACGCTTTTTGGTTGAAAAGCTTCCAACCAGAGGGAGATTGATGCTGCTCTATTTAGGTTGTCACGACGGTCTGCGAAGGGAGTGAGGCGCTTATCGGGGGTTGGGCCGCGTAGCGGTCAGGGGGCACACCCCTTGGACCCTTCTATCTCTGTAACCGATTCATTTATGGTGCATTATAATTATAATCAATCTAAATTACCTTATCCAAAGGCTCCGGTTCTTTCATATGAATGCCAGATATCTCAATCACATTCGGTGGGAACAGTTTAGCACCATCGACTGCAGTATTAGCGGTGAGGATGAAAAGCGAAACATTCCTCAGCATGTCCGTGATACGGGGCAAAGGCCCGGGAAGATGCTTGGCCAGCAGAGCGTCGTGGTCAGGGAAGTACCAATACTCGTTGAACAGCATCACAGCAAAACTGATCAAAGCATTATCCAGCCTTTCAAGGAGACTCGAAGGGTGAACGGTCGGGTAAGAAGAATCCTTCCATGGTAAATACGCAACTGCGTTCATGGCACCGGAGTAACGGAAGATTTCTGTATCGTACCCGTAAGAGGAATACGTGACGACGGGGGCGTTGAAAATGTGTCCGAGGACGACCAAAGCCTCTTGCCCGAAGAACAGCTCCGTGAAGATAAGGTCGAATTTGTTGTCGTCATTGTATAAGTCTTGGAAGACAGAGGACTCGAGTAGTTTCGGTATTCTAGCGTCGGCCATTTTCTTCCAAAGGCTGATCGAGAAAATCGCGTGCCATCGTTCAAACGAGTGCTCCATCCAATTTGTGTTGGCTGAAAAAATTATATTGAAAAATTATCCGCCTTGTACTCCTGGAAAGTTATCAGGTGTTTGGTCGAATTAAATGTCAAACATACGGTCGCTTACGAGCATCCTGGCTTTTCTTTGATATTGAAATTCATGGCAACATAAACAAAAATCAGATTCAGAGAAAAAATTACAAACGAGAAAAGGCGACAAAATCTCTCATTTCCTGAGCGTATAGTAATTTCTAATTTTAGCGTCTTTCGGCGGTACAAGAGACAGCACCTTCAATGAGTCGAGTTAAGAAAGAAACCAATCACGCGATTTGGTCTGGAGCGGCGCGGCGCAGAGAGCAATGATGACGAGGACTTGAGATGAAAGTCCTTGGCGCGACGGTCGGCATGTAACACATATTAGCGCCTACAAGACTGGATGAATACTTCACGCATTGCGCCAAACACAGTGCGGTTAGCTCGGCGTGGCGGCGCACAGTGGATCGAGTCAATTAGAAAGGTCGGACATGAAATTGACTAGAACTGCAAATTTTGATGTTTATTTCGTCACATTTTAAACTTTAGTGGGTGCTCTCGAAGATAAACTTTACGAGGGAACCAATGAAACCACTTTTAGATCCTCAAAGTTTTGTATAAACGGAGTTATAAGCGTATGAAGTTTCCGAATTTTGTCCGACATCTCCTATTGACTCGATCCAATGTGCGGCGGAAGTTAAAATTATTAAACCACATTTATGTTTGTTCTTTTATATTTTTTGTTGTTGTTGATTTCTCATAAATAGAAGGCCTTGTACACACAGAGATAGGTCTATGGAGCTTGACTTTCGCGCAAAGTTCCGTGAACTTTTGCTAGTAGTGTTGACACAGCATTCGCAAAAAATGTGCCCGACACGAGTAAGCGCGTCTTATGCACCCCTCCCCCTCCGGCACGTTCACTTGATGATTTTTATTGATGTTTCAAAACGAATGAGAAGGGGGCGGCAAGGAGGTAAATCCGGCCCCGATCTGTAGATACACTGAAAGAAAAGGATTGCTAATTAACCGATTTACGGTGGAGCAAAATTTGCTTCACTTCGTAAAGCTTTCTTATCCGTGCACGGTGTTGAATCAAGTGAACGACTAGCACGAATTGCTACACCGATTTGCTACATCTGCGCGCCTTCATGCAGTTAATCTTGCATCGAGTGGCTTGGAAGTGTAACTGCATTTTTTGGTATTGGTACTTTGCGAACAGTAAAAATAGCTCAATAGTTAGGCTAAAATAGCGGAATTTACGGAAAAATAGCGAAATTTACGGAAGAATAACTAAAAAGGTAACAGACGTAGCTTTTCAGTGTAGCAAAATCACCTACACGCGTGTGTGTAAGTTAGCTGAAATTTGTGTAGCGATTTTACCTGCATGGTTTGCACGTTCGTTTTTTAGCTACACCATGCCATGAAATACCCGAGTGCACGGCAATTTCAGCAATATTTTTTTTTCAATGTAATTTTCTCAAAATAAAAATTAAGAGACAAAATTGTATAAAAACTAGAATTTCCTCCGTTTCGGATACTTACGGATGATTTCATCGAAGTCGATCATCTCCAAAGGAAAATGACGGATATTGGGATTCTTATTTTTTGGTGGAAATGGGCTCACGATGGTGAGGTTATGACCCCGATTAGCGAGGGCATGGAAGATGGGCTCCACCTGGAAATAATGACTCCAAATTTTGTTCGGTAAGAATACGAGGATATTATGAGCTGAGCCGCTAATCGCAAAACAAACAACTGTCAACACGATTGAAAACTGCATGGCTCGACCAAGAGGAGAGTATCACGTGGTGCCGTAGCTATGTTGCGAGTGCCTTTGAAAATCGGCCGACCTGAGTACAAAATAATAAATTCAGTCAGCAATGTACCTATCATAATAATGTATATATGGACCGAGTATATCAGAAAGGAACCAACCCACATTTCCCAAAATAATCGTGTTAAGAACATTTTTGAGAGGCAATAAAAATGTCTACTCCTTCTTTAGGAAAAACCATTTGATTTTTTTAAAGGCTGGAAAGCAATAGTTTCTGAAAAACACTTACCGAATTAATAAAGTTTGATTTCACACTACGCAGACAAGCACTCAAACGGCAATAAAAAAGATTAATTGAGACCGCAAAAACCACGTTTTTTTTTTTTTTTTTTTTTTTTTTTTAATAAATCAAAAGTAAATACACAAATTCGCTGAGGAAAACGATTTAGTAACAAAGAATACTTAATTGCATTTAAAGCTTCAGCTTAATAGTTCAATAAACACACTGTGCGATGCCGCAATCCACGAGCTGAATGTGGCTTGAATGTGGAAGTCATCGGCCCGCGATGCCTGCATTCAGCAACGATTCTCAGCGACCATCGTATAATGTCGGATTTGTCTGAACGATTCGAATAGATTTGATACACATTTAAGTGAAAATAACTCGCATTAGTGAAATTTCAGCCGTTGAGCGCTGACTTGACTGCCACATTCAGCTGCCAAATTCAGCGCGTGACTGCGGCATGGCGCTCGAGAGTCGATTACATAAGTAAGTGACCCACTACTCTGAATGGCCCTAGTCTGCATTATTTTATCTTCAATTCCATTCACACTTTTGTTTTATCTTAACCATATGAATGAATTTGTTTCAACCCATTTTTCATCTTAATTTTTACTTCTGAGCTCAAAATCAGAATCCTAAATTTTGTATGGGGTATGGAGGCTTTAGGAGTTTTTTTTCTTCTTCTTCTTTTTTAAGCATCCTCAGTCAATCTTTGGGAGTTTTTTTACTCAAAATTATACTTGACTTAATTGAATCTAAAGACCAATACACCACTCAAAAGCAATGAAAAAAGTATACCTCTAAATGGACCGCGTTAAGCAGAGAGGAACCAAGCCACATCAGCTATTAGAAAATTTAGCTGGGCAATTTATTTTATTACATGAAAACGGTGAAGCGGATTTGTTTGAAAATACTCCACCCATTGCGTCAAACACAGTGAGGTCAGGAGCGGTTGGTGTGAGACGCATAGCGCCTACAAGACTGCAGGAATACTTCACGCATTGCGCCAAACACAGTGCTATCAGCGCGGCGCAGACGCAGCGGCGGCGGAATAAGTTAAAATTATTAAACCACATTTATGTTTTTTCTCTCATAATTTTTTGGTTCATTTCTTATAAATGGAGGACCTTGTCCACACAGAGACAGGTTTACGGAACTTAACTTTCGCGCAAAGTTCCGTGAAATTTTACTAATAGTGGTGACAGGGCTTTCGCAAAAAATGTATCCAACATGAGTAGGTAAACGCGTCTTATGCACCCCTCCCCCTCCGGCATGTTCACTTGATGGTAATTATTAATGTTTCGAAACGAATGAGAAGGGGGCGGCAAAATACAGGCGGCCCATGGGCGGCAAGTAGGTAAATCCGGCCCTGGTTCATACTGCTATATAGATATTTAAATACAATATTCAGAGTAGTGAGAATGCAATGACTAATCTTTAAATGATGCTCAGGAATTAAAAGATAATAGAATTATGCCGTAATACCCGGTATATACACATTCTGTCCCGACTAGGAAAATGTTGCGGTGCTCTGCTGTAATGGGTCAGTTGCGCTGGTCACAGAATCGTGTTTTGATGCTTGATTCTTGGGGATAAGCTAAGAATAATAAGATCTGTCTAAACCGCAACTTTCTACATTTAATAATAATCGAGATATCTCTCTTTCAAAATTCGGGGTTTTGACGTCATCCACCGCCGATAAAAGCAAGGTGGAAGAAACCATGGGTGTCACTACCGCGGTGGATGACGTCAAAACCCCGACTTATCAAAAGGCAATATCTCAGTTATTATTGAACGTAGAAAGTTGCAGTTTCGACAGATCGTATTATTTTTAGCTTATCTACTAGATTCGAGCATCAATTCACGATTCTGTGACCAGCGCACCCTACCAATTGGACGAGGGAGGACATAAACTTCCTTGAACAATTACTTAACAGAAAATATAATTTATTGATTCTTTGGTTTTAAGGGTTTGGTTCCAATGACACATTTTCGACATAAAAATGAGACTAGTTTCACAAAAAGGTAAACCACCACAAAAATTATAGCAGCACATATCACAAAAACATCTAAAAAGAAAAGCTGATACCATGGCATGTGAACCGTTAGAGGTTTTAGGTGATGAGCACCCTCATGGCGGATTACGTATTCCATCCAATAAATAGCTGTATCCACGGGTGACATTGGTTTGTCCCTGAAAATTTTCGAAGCTCTACCGATGTTTTCTTTAAACCTGGAACGAAGGCAAAAATTAACCAATTATCGCTGAAATACCTTGAGGAGAGGAAGCTTACGTTTGAAAAAAATTCAACTTGTTGTAAAAGAAGAAGAAGAATCTTCTGACTCAACTCTGAAACAAAAGCTCATATCGTACGACTCAAATTTAAGTTTCTCCAGTAACCTCGTAGGTTCCAGTACAGTCCAGCGCTAATTTCTTACACCTCAACTGGTATTACTATTTTAGTAATGATGTAATAGTGAATTCTCACGCTAAGGTACTGATAAAGAGCACCGTATAACTGCCGTGCTAAGGAAAAACGCCGTTTAAGCCTTCAAGCGTTGCCTGGTTCCCCTTTGTAAACCACGAATTTCCGGGAAAATTTGCAAGAAAATTTATTCCAATTTTTTAGATAATTTTGTTCTCAGTTTCACCTAAAAGTCCTGAAATTTCTCAGGAAAAATATTCATAGCTTTCCTCAAAAATAGACATTAAATGAAAGAAGATTTGACAATTCTCGAATGTTCATACGACGTTTTTACTTTAGCACGGCAGATAATAAGCCTTCAGTCATTACCAAAATTCCATTTTCCAAGGCAACTTCAAATACATAAAACATTAAAATATAATCTATACTAATAAAGCAGACTTCACGTTGATTGACTCACTGACTGACTGACTGACTGACTGACTCACTCACGTATCAGCGGATCTCGTGAACGGGAGGCCGTGTGACCCTGAGATTCCGCACTGGGATCCCTCTCTACCCCGAGGCGCCGGATAAGGGAGAATTTCGCGATCCGCCCGCCGGTTCGCGGGATATCGCGGTTCGCGTGGGTCGATTTTTCCGTAAGGACAACGGGTGCGAGAGAGAGTGCGAGCGAGATAGAGCGATTTCCGCGTCTCGCGCTGGAAGACAGCTGATAAATTTTACGTACGTTCTTCTGGTACGCGTAACGGGTGCGAAGAAGATGGAAGGAGTTCGGCGTCCAACGAGTGCGAGGAGGATGGAACGAGTTCGGCGTCGCGCTGTTGGAAACGCCGCGCCATGATTTTTGCGAGCTCCGACTCGTGCATCCGTTGCCGGGCGACTCTCTCAGGGATGTGAAAATCTGGAAAATCTGTCTGTGCATTAGTTCTGTTTTGAAATGATTTCGGCGAATTCTCGAAAAATTTTGAGAGAAGCTGTTGTTTGGCTTCAAAAATAAAATAAATAAACCCAAATGGAACATGAAGACGGTGTGCAACGTTGCAATCGGAGGAGAAGCGGGGTTTTTGCGCGCATTTCATCAATACTTGACTCCGATCGTGGAAGGCGCTCTTGATACAACTATTTCACCACGGGGGATGTCCACATTGCTGCTCGCTATATTGAAGGCGTTCTGTACTGTGATGACGGCTCGGTCGAACAGCGCCTGCAGACGCGGTGCTGACAGCAGAGCAAAACTAGAACATCGTTTCGACATTCTCCACCCGCTTTCTGTTTCTATCATAGTTTACCGAAACACATGAGTCATACTTGCAAAATTTTGGATCATCGCTAATGTTTTTTCCTTTTTTTTTCTTAATTTCAAAGCATTAAATCTTATACAAGGAAACCGATGGTTACATCCCATAGTTCTCGTAAAATCGAGATTGGATTCTTGCAATTCGTCACTTTTAACAAGCAGAAATGAAGCGAGCAACTATTTGAACTCCGGAGTGGGTATGTGGTATCATAAAAAATTGAAGGAAAATCATACGTTTTCGCCCATCCCAAGTAACAGATGTTTATGAGTTTTATGCGCACATTTACGTAGTCTTAGTTGAGTAAGAAATTCGCGTGTATGCCACGATATTGATTTGAATAACGCGCAATTATAATACTCTTAGAAATTCGCCAGGAACACGACGTATTTGCCGTGATATCGTGGTGATTATCGTGTAATTTCTAATTTGTTTTTCAAAATCCCTGGAAAAATCACGTTTTCTCCGCGATGTCGATGACAAACCCGCCATTGCTGAGAATTAAACGAAACCGTTGGTTAAATCCCGTAATTTTCGCGGCTGAAACTCACCAGCTGTAACTTCAATTAAACATTGGACTGACAAAAGTAACACATCTTTATGAAAATAACCAACTTTTGATGGGGTATTGTTGATTATTATAATGATCATATGAGCTTACTGCAGAAAAGACCAAAATAGCAGCTTTAATCAGCATACTACTAAGCTCTGCATTTTTATCAAACCAGTGCGTCTCGCCAATTTTGAAATAGTAAAAAATAATTCAGAAACACAATTAGTAACTGATCACTAATCACAGTGATTGCTGATGGTGGGGGTTTTCCTGTGCGTAGCACGGGTTTCCTGCTAGTTGAATAATAAAATAGAAAGAAATGGAAAAATAAAGATTTTATCAGAGAAAATGTGGCAACATCTGGATGTTCATTCATTATACGGCGGTTTATCTAAGACCGGTGACACAATTCAGAACGCTATAGTGCATATGTAGTACCCATAAGTCATGATACGTGTACTCAAGATAGACGAAAAGCTAAGATTTTCCTTCAAATTCGCTTGATACCACATACCT